CCCGCCTGCGTCTGGAGGCCGCGGGCAGGCAGGGCGCTGGGACTGGGCTATGGGCTCGGATGAGGCAGGAGAGAGGAGGTGGGAGCAGCACAGGACCGGATCTCTCAGGCCGTGCAAGCTGAACTTCGTCCTCAAGGCCGTGGGGGCCAGCGAAGGACCTTGAGGGTGGAGTCGCCGAGGCCGGCCCCAGGACCCCGATTCCCCTCCTTCACCCCCCAACAGCATGGAGTTGTGGAGGGCAAGCAGGGTGGCTGCCGTCGCTGAGCAGCACAGACGAGGCCCGTCGGACCTAGCCGCGGTCACCTGGCCAGGCTGCATGCGGGCTGGGTGTGGGGCCTGGGCCTGCAGGCTGCAGACTAGGTGCTTCCTGCCAGGACCATGGGGCACAGAAACCAGAGGGCAGACGCGGCACAAGTAAACAGGCCGACTCAGGACAGGAAGAGGGCCCCCTATGCCCTGAGCCTGAGTACCAGGTGGCTGGAGGGCCCCAGCTGCTGAAGACGCCCTGTGGTGGGGCGCCCGAGCCCAGCCCTCCGCGTTCCCGTGATCTCCTGCCCTCCTGAAGCACAGCCATCAGCCAGCATTGGGGGACCCAGGCCAGGAGGCCAGAGCCTAGGGCTGCCGGGGTTGGGCGGTGGGGGGGGGGCTTGGAGCCCTGCATTTGACAGCCGGGAGGCCAGGTCACGGCCAGAAGCCTGGGCTCAGGGGAGGTGGGAGCTCACGTGAAGGCCAGGTCAGAGGGGGCTCTGTCCTCAGAAGGCCCAAGGTGACAAAGGCAGATTGCAGGGTGCCCAGGAAGCGTTTGGGGAGGTCAGCTCTCGGGCAGGGGTGGCTGGTCTTTGCTTCTGTACGGACGAGAGCAGTCCCTTGGGCTTTGCCACCACCGTGCCCCGGCCTCCTTGCCTCTGCCTTCGCCCTGCCCAGGGCGGGCCCCGAGCACTGGCCCGGTCACACGGCTCTGCATGTGTGCAGCTCTCCTCGCCGGTGCTCTGGGGCTGCATGGCAGGTGCCGAGGTGGGAGGCAGGACTGAGGGGTAACCGCTACTCTAAATTTAAACGGGAACTCCCTGTAGAGTTGGCAGAAATATCCTGAGCCCTCCTCGCCGCGGGCCTCTGGAGCGGGAAAGCGGGGAGGGGGCAGCGGGAGGCCGCAGGTGGCAGGGCTGAGAGAGGGTGCCAGAGAAGGCCCGGGTGGGGGTGCACCTGCTCTGCGGACCTGAGGCCCACACTCAGGTGCAGGCCGGGCCCTCCCTGCAGTCAGGGTTTGTTGATTTCCATCACACGGACCCCTCCGGAGTCCTCTACAACCAGGGCCAGAGGGGAGCTGGC